GGACCTCATGGAAAGTTCTGGCAAATTACTTGTACACTAACTTCATTTCTATGCTTTTTCAGTGTCATATCCCAATTAAAGATAGAAATGATTTATTCTTAGAAAATCCATTTAACTCTTCATCACATTTGCTTCCTTCAGTGGCAATCTTGAAAACCATTACAGGCATGGCTGCCTATTGAGCATATTTTAAATCATGTACCACCTTATAATGAATGTGTTATCACATCTAAGCCTGAAAACAAACTCTGAAATTATTATCCCTATTTGATAATGAAAAAACTGAGTTTCATAAAAATTAAGTAACTTGCTTAAAATTTATGTAAGATTACATCAAATCATTATTCCAAAGTATATTACAAATTCTCAAAATAAGATATATAACAGATCTATTAATTTGTTCTTAGTAGTAGCAAGAATCCACTAACTTCTTTTCCCATAGAAAACCGGATGATATTTGCTTTCCCCTTTTATTCACTTCCATTGTCCAACAGGAGTGTCAGAGGATATGATTTCCAATGTTTTTTAGTAAGTAAGACTTGGAATTCACATGAGTACCATCTCTTATAATCATTCTTTGTTCACATTAAATAAAAAATATTTAAAAAGGAGTACATTCACAAGTTTCAACATATAAAAAGCATAAAAGTATATATTGTTAAAAATCTGTATCTTACATTCTATCCCCCTTAGTCACCTAATGTCTAATTCTACAAGCAATAAGTGTGGAATTATTGCAAGCAATATTTACACACCAACAAATATTTACAAACACACACAAGTAAATATTTATGAACAAAATGTACACCCATATTACATTATTTTGTTCTTGATTTATAAACAAATGACAAATATATGTTGTATAGCCTGGGTGAAAAAAATTGGTGCATATATATGTTGGTGCTGTCATATATATATGATTCAGCACCTTGCCTTTTTTTCACCCAATATCATATCTTTTTTTTTTTTTAAAGATTTATTTTATTTATTTATTTATACAAGCACTGGGTACAGTCAGAAGGGCGGGAGGGTGAGAGAATTCACCAGAGCCAGAGCGGGGAGCAGAGCAGGCAGAAGGACTGAAGTACACTGCTGAGGGGAGCAGCGGGCAGCAGGAGAGGTCTGCGCGCCATGTGGGGCCCTCCCCCGGTGGCCGGGGATGGGGGGTGGCCAGGGAGCAGCCAGGGATTGAACCGGTGCTGCAGAGGCTGCAGGCAGCTTCGCAACCCAGCGCTCAACCGCTATGCCACCGGGGAGGCCCGCCAATATCATATCTTGAAGATTATACCTTATCAGGATATAGAACCATTTCATTCCTTTTTTATAGCTACATATTTTATTCTTTAACTGCATCCACATATGTCACTTCTTTAACTACTGTCTATATTTTTTTTACACTTTTTTTAAAAAATAAATTTTATTTTTATATTCCCCATACAATTGCAACCCCCTTATTTTGACCCCAATCCCTCCCCTCCCCGCCCCCACCCCTTATTAACTACTGTCTAAATGTCATTAAACAATGGAATGATTGCTATCTTTTGTGACTGCAACCTATGTTTTAAAGAATATGTTGGCATATATGTCATTTTGTTCTTAGCAAGAACATCTGTGGAATAATGCAGTAGAAATGACATTCCTGGGTCAAGAGCAAATGTGCATTTGTACTTTTGATTGATGTTGTTACAATACTTTCCATAGTGTTTTACTAATTTAAAATTTCACCATTGTAGGAGAGTGTCTGTTTTTCCATACCCATGCAAATACAGATATCAGCCTTTCAGATTTTGCAGGAAAAATCAGTTATTTTAATCTGAGTTTAATTTTTAGCTATTATCGATTTGATGATAGGTGATAGGAATTACAACTATTTCCCCAGATTGCATGTTTTTGAACTTCGTTATAACAGTGTTGCTATACCTGTGCTTTTTTCATGGGTAGGTAGTCAAGGTTATCAATTCTTACTTTACAAATTCTGAGTTCCCAAAGTCTTCTGCAACTCAAGATTATGAAAACATCCTATGGTTTCTCTATTACTTTAGTGGTTTTCATTGGAATATCTATTTGGAATTGATGGTGGTATTAATGTGATGTATAGATTCAAAGTTTCTTTTTCATCTTTCTGGTTACCCTAGCTCTCTGATACAATTAACTGTTTTATTCTGAAAATCATTTATTTAATTTGTCTATATGAACCATACATTTGATATGTCTGGTTAAAAAAAATAGTGCTATAAGATAAATAAGGACTGAAGATCTAATACATAATATGATATCTATAGTTGATAGCAAATTTCAGCGATACAATATAGTGTTAAGGGTGCTGAAATGATAGCAGTGTTATAATTAACTTAATAATGGGGAATCTGTTCACAATATATATGGATAACAAATCACTATGTTATATACTTTCAACATCTACATCTCACAATTTTATTTGTCATTTATACCTCAATAAGGCTAGGAAAAAATCCACAACCTCATAAATTCACATCAGTACAATGTTTAAATACACAGGATGTGAGAAATACCAGAGCATTCCCTCCTAAGTAAAGGATAAAATTAGTTATCTATCTATATCATACCAAAAATAAACTTTGGATGAATGAAAAGTATAATATGAAAAATGTGATAAAAATTCATATAAAAGTGAAAGCTCAAGAATAAGCACAGTAACTGGCAAGGCAATTCTGAAGAAGAATCTAAGTCAGTTTGTCAAGTTTTATAAATCTTTTGAAATTTTGATATAAATTTTACTGGATTTATAGATTTATAGATTAAAAAAAGATTAAATTACGGGCATATTTAGAATCCTACTTTTCTGCACCCATTTAACAATATTACAACCCTACATAAGGGGATATTCCCCTTCACTTGTCAATATTATAGCTTGAAAAAAATAAGTGCCTTCAGTTTCTTTAAATCATCTTGTTAAAACTCAAACTTTCAGTTTTAGGTTCACAAATATTATTCTCATTCACTTGTTCAATAAATCCTTGGTCCTGTAATGTCCTTTATGGCTCTGATCATTATTTAATTATCATGGGTTACTTCTGGTGTGTCTAGAAATATATTTTTTGGTTTGGATTTGAGAACCATGATAAATATTTAAAGTTGGTTGAAAATTAGACCCTAAATAAGGAAAGTTTTATCATCATTTCATCCAATTTATCCTTTATTCCTTAGTAAAATGGTTTAAATCAAGCTTTCTCTCTTGTTGGCAGTTTAAAAATGAACTGCTGCAGTTTATTCAATATTCCAGTGGAAATGATTTGAAAGATATCAACTTTTGAATAGCAAATATTCAGTTAGTAAAGCTTAACAACTGAACAAATAATTCTATAAAATTATAGCAAGCATTTCTATAGTACTACTTATGTGCAAGACATTGTACTATGTGTACTACAAACATAAATGATTTGAATTCTCAATAATTCAAAAGATACTTTTAAATATTAAAGTATTTCATGGCCATTAGGATAAACATCAGTTGCTAGTGTAGCCTAGTTGTTTAGGAGATTATAGAGTTTAGTATAAATATAAAGTAGCCAGTTTTAAGATTAGATTTACTAATCTCTTCAAATTCACAAAAAAACATACTAAAGCTAGCAAGTTATTAAATTCTATCTGAATATAAGTTCTGTTTGGCTAAAACCTTACTTTCTTTTAAAGTTTATTAGTTTGTTCATAAATTTATTCTAGAACCATTACTAAATATACCACATTCAAAAACCTAAAAAGCCAACTAAATCTTAGTCACATGTATACGTCATATAAGTTTATATGGACACCATATAGCTTTATAAATGGAATGGTCATACATAATAAAAGATAATTCTAACCGTGGTCTAATACAAATAGCTAATTTATAAATTTATATTAAGATCTTTGTAATTAGACATACTTTCACATTATAGGAAAGATTTCTTCAATATTACATTTATTAAAATTCTTCCATGAATCAAGTTTATAAAGTTGGTATGAATCAGAAGTATAACAATCTGAATCATTCTAAAAGGTTTTGATATTCTAAAAGATTAACAACAGCTTAATTATATGAAGATCTCCCTCCATTTCACATATAACTTGAATCACAAATTAATGAGTCTTAATTTAACAATTAAAAGATCGATTGAACTTATTTTCAAAGTTTACCACTATGCAAAAGGTATATGAAAACTTTCTGTACTATTTTAGCAACTGTTTTCTCTGAAATTACTTAAAAATAACAGTTATTTTGGTTTAGTTTTTTTAGTAAATTTTCCTTTTAATCAGGCTATTGTATATCCTTTTCTATTTATAAAGCTAAGTCATTCACTTTCTTTCCTTCCCTTCAACACACATAATCCAGGACATACAGATGTCCTGTTCATTTTTTAATAGATGAACGGAAGAGTATACAACAGTACATCACTTTGACTGTTAAGTCTGATAAGTTATTTTGAGCATTCACCTGCCCTATAATTGGCAATTCTACTCCTAAGTATTAAACCAAGAGAATAAAAACATTCATCTACAAGAAAACTTATATAAAATGTTCATAGCAGTTTTATTCAGGAGAGTTCCAAACTGGAAACAACCTAAATGTCCATTGACAGGCAAATTAATACACAAACTATTGTATATTTATACTCAGCAACAGCAGAGAATAAACTACAAAACAAAACAGATGAAAGAAACTAGGCATAAGAGAGTACATACTGTATGACTCCATTCATTTTTGGTCCAGGAAGAGTGAAACAACACTATAGTGCCAGAAATCACTGCCTCTTGAGTGGTGGTTAAGACTGACAAAATGGACTTAGGAAAACTCTTTGGGGCTACTGAATGGCTTTTTATTTATGTCAATATAAGCAATAATCACTTATTACAAAAACACTGCATGTAAATTATGCTCCAATTGAAATGAAAATCATATTTCTATTGAAAATATATTTTCTAAGAAAAAGTGATGAACAAAAATTAAAGAGTTTTAACAGTTCTATTTTCAGGAAGCTTACCTGTCTAAGAGTTGATCATGTTTTTCTAAAGCATCCTTTTCAGCCATCACTGCTCGGTCCTTTTCAGCCACAGCATTATCTCTTGCTTCTCGAAGATTTCTAAAATTAAAATACACATTCAGTTATTCCAAATACATAAGTATGCACCTTTTAATGATGTATAAATGTGCTTGTTTGGAACTGGACTATCTGATAGTCTTAAGGACACACTAGAGATAGGTGACTCAAAGTGTACACTATATGAATTTGCATGGGTTGGTAAGTTTTTAAAACAGAATGTTAGAAACTTGCAAGCTGCCAGACAAGTTAGTGTAGGTGTAAACATGGTCTGTCTCTAAATGCTACCTTTAACCCCATTGTTAACATGTTACCCTTTTCATAATCTAATGAGGTAGGTATAAATGCTTGCATATTATTCACAAGAAAACCTTGGGACCTTGAGAAGTTAGTAAATAGTCTATAAAATATTTTCAGCTAAACATATAGAGATCACAAGTATCAAAATGAGGATGAAGTTGGGATATGAGTTGAAATGAATGACCTCAGGATCTCACTTGTAGAGGAAAGGAAGTAAAGAAAACACAGAAGGGCTGATAGATTAGGAGAAAGTATAAGGACAAAGGACTTGAAGTCCTGATAAGATGACAAACAGATTAAGTAGAAGTAATTGCACAAGAAAGATGGAGGACTAGAGATTATCTTTGAAGAATGGTGATACAGAGGTAGAACAGTTCTTTCAGGGATAGGATTTTAGTTGATAACAAGATCCAGGCTGTGCATATTACAGTAGTTAAATGAAGCAGAGCTGAGATGAAAGTTAATATTTATATAGGGCTCAAGGAAGTATGAGGCCAGAGTATTATCTACTTAAAATATTAATAATAGCAAAAACTGAAATTTACAGAAAGATACATTTAGTGATAGTTATGGGTGATGTGGAAAAGGTAGAAAGTAATAGCAGTTAGTAATTAACAAATGATACAGCCAGACATGAGCCTTCAAAAAAGTAACCTTGCTTATTTTTTAAATCAAAGTGGAAGTCTGAATGAGGAAAAATACTAACAGTAGGCCTCTTTCAGAAAGTCACTAAATTTTTTTTTAAAATTCTCTTCTCTAGGGCCTCCCTAGTGGCACAAGGGGTTAAGACGCAACCTATGAATCTATCAGCAGCCATGAGTTTGATCCCCACCCAGGGAGCTACCCACATGGCGCAGCAGACCTCTCCTGACTCGCCCACTGCTCCTCTCAGCCGTGTATTTCAGTCAATCTGCCTGTTCTGTTCCCTATTCTGTCTCTGGTGAATCCTCTCACCTCCCACACTTCTTGCCTGTACCCCAGTTCTTGTACACATAAATAAATAAATCTTAAAATAAAATTCTCTTCTCTAACCAAGTCATAACAGAGTCTAACATAAATGATTCTGCTCGCTTAATCTCTACAAAGCCCATATGCAGTACTTAAAACTGTTTTATATGTTGAGTAAACTGAAGTGTAGTGGGTATAAAGTATACCTAGTCCCAAGACACACGGCCTAACTGTTAAAGACGTAACTTGAACCCAGCTGTGTCTTACTCTGAATAAGTGTTTTGAACATCATATCATCCTATCTCCCATAAGGAACTAGATTGGATATTAGAGTTTGGTTTTTATTATTCATGGAGAATGTCAGTAGGGAGATATGAAAACCTACACAATTTGAATAAATTCATCTATAACTATTGGACAGAAATGCTTAGTGCTCATACTTGCTGTGCCAATATGTCATCTTTTGCAAGGTAATGCTAACAACAAATTTAAAATTTAAAACATGTCAACCAACAGGGATTCATCATGAAAACAGTTTATGAACCAGAATTTTTTTTTAAAAAAACTATAGAAAACTCCTATGAAAAGGAAAATAACTGTATATTGTTACAGATGGAAGTACACTTTATAATATATACCACAAAAGAGTATGCCATATTTTCTGATATGCAGACCACACTGATCTTAAAATAATGGAAATGTCAAACTTTATACATAAAATTCACAACACATATGAAACATTTATGTATTTTTCATTCCTAGATGATTTAAATATTTAAGTCAGTAAATCACAATAAACTGGTTGCAATATTCATTTACTTCTCAACACAGACTTATTCTGTAAGTTATTTCAGTAACAAAATTCCAACAAGATCACATTGCTAGTATTAGTTAATCATGAATATTTAGCTGGTAGATGAAAGAAGCTTTAGTCCCTAACTATATTTCTTTCCTGTAACAATGGGCATTAGAAATAAAAGCAAGTAATAGGGAATGAAATAAATCCCAGTGTAAACTAACATTAGGTTTTGTGAGAGAAGGTATGATTAGAGGGTACTAGTGCATTCACTATGCGACAATCTACAATATCTAGCTAGCTATAATTAGAGCTAGAGAAAGGCATAAACAAACCTCCATAGCCACAAAAAGGAGGAACTGATTATTTTTATTTGGAGAAGAATCGGTGTGTGAATGAAGGGAAGACATGTCATCTTGACTTTGAAGAACAAGTAAGTAAAGGCAATGCAAAAAGAGAAAACTGAAATGAATGGGAAAAAGTACTAGAAGCTGAGGGCACGTCATAGGTGTTGCTAGTAAGATTTCTGTATAAGCTCCTGTTCTTATCAAGTACCACATCTTCCATATTTCTGCCCCAAACCTGCACCCTTAAACAAGAACAGTACAATTCCTTTTAACACACAGAGACAGAAATACTACAGCAATAGATTTTTAATGTTTCAAATTAAGTCTGAGAGAAATTAATGGAAAGTATTCCTCCACTGACAATAACAGTAAAAAACAGCAAACATATAGAGTGTTTACCATGTGCTAGGAACTATTCTAGGCACATTACAAATAATACCTTATCTAATCTTCTCGACAAGCCCACAAAGCATAGGTTGTATCATTACCTCCTTTACAAAGGAGAACTCTGAAACACAAAGAAGTAATGTATTTGCCTATGGTCACAAGTTAGCTATGGAGTCCAAATGTGAACCACTGTCTGGTTTTAGAGTTCATGCTCTTTATCAAACTATGCTGCCTCTTTTAAGATTCCCTTTGTTTCACATAAGTTTTCACCTCAAGAAATTCCATCATTATGGCTTATATTTTATTATAACATGATCGTCTCATAGCACAAATTGATGTTATATGAAAAATAAGCCTTCAAAGAATTGACTTGTTTTCACAGCTGACATGCTCTTTCATAACTGTCATATATCTAATAAAATATCCAGTTTAAAATGACAAATGCATTACAAAATGTAACACAATTAGAGAACAGGGCCTCCCCTGTTGGCACAGCAGTTGAGTGCTGGACTGCGAAGTTGCCCGCAGCCTCTGCAGCACCGGTTCTATCCCCGGCCACAGGCGAGGGTCCCACATGGAGCGACAGACCTCTCCTGCCGCGCCCATTGCTCCCCTCAGCAGTGTATTTCATCAGTCTGCCTGTTCCGTTTCTCACTCTGGCTCTGGTGAATTCTCTCACCCTCCTGCGCTTCTGACTGTACCCAGTGCTTGTATAAATAAATAAATAAATAAATAAATAAATAAATAAATAAATAAATAAATAAAAAACAAAAACAAAAACAAACAAAAAACAATTAGAGAACAAATAGCAGGAATTCAAAAGTTCTTCAAAAGAAAAACTTAAAAAAAAGAAAAACTTAAAAAATTGACAGAAACTATCTTTGATATGTACACACTAATGAAGCTTAAGTTTTAAAAGTTTAAACAGTATACAGCCAAGTATAATTATAACAGAAAAAGATGTTAGGAGTTGGTCAATAGCCGATTTTATAATCAAAGGCTTTAAAATACAAAAATTCAAATATTTCATACCTAGAGATACTTTCAGAAATTTAATATTTGATTCCCAAACCACTTTTTTTTGTGATTCTTTCACGTTGTTTCTTATTAACTTCATTGCTCTCCCCTCCCCTGCCATGTGAATCTCTCCCAACTATCCTGTTTTAAGTGTGGAAGTTGGACTGAGAGAAAATGTTGCACAAAGAGGAAAAGGAATCTAAAAGCAATCCTATGTAAAATGCAAAAACAAAGTAAGGGCCTTCCTGATGGCACAAGGGGTTAAGACGCAACCTAAGACGCAATCCACAGCCACTGCAGCATGAGTTCAAACCCCTGCCATGGCGGGGTTTCAAACCCCACATGGCACAGTAGACCTCTCCTGACTTGCCCACTCCGCTGCTCCCCTCAGCAGTGCATTTCAGTCAATTTGCCTGTTCTGTTCCCCGCTCTATCTCTGGTGAATCCTCTCACCCCCCAACACCTTTGGCCTGTACCCCAGCTCTTGTATAAATAAATAAATAAATCTTAAAAAAGAACTTGGGAAGCATTTTAAAAAAGTGAGTATCCTAGTATAACTAGTGTCCAAATAATGTGTTCTTCAACCTGACACACTTTATAGAGAAAGCTGGTGATAGTAATATTACATCAGAGACATAGGTATAAACAGAACTACTGTAATCAAACAACTAGGACATATGGTCACTTATTTCAGCAATGATCAAACAAAAAACTAGAAGAGTTAAGTTCTTAATTATTTCTCTAAATAAAAGGATCTGAGTATTACAATAGATGTATTTCATAAGCACTTCAAACGCATCTCGTGCATTTGTCTAGAATGACTTCATATATATTAGTTTATCGAAACGTATCCCACAACTGAAACAGAAACCTAAGTACAAAACACACAATAACAAGAGACTTCTGTATAAGATGGACTGTATTTTATTTCTACTAGAAGATAAATTTCATGGTCCAATAGGCCAAATTGAAATTTATACTTCAAAAGTTGGAAGAAAAATGTTAGAAGAATGAGAAAAACTTTAGGAACCTTTGAAATTCTAATAGGAACAAATCACAGTTTGGCAATGTCAAGAGTATCTCTTAGCCTGAATAAACATCACTAATGTCTCAGAAGTTGAAATTTACCAAGAATAAATAGTGAAAAAACATGGTTGTCAGAAGCACTCAGCAGGAGCAACTAAGCAATCCATTCTTCTCCTTCTACCGCCATCTAAAAATATTTTCGGTTAATGAAAGTGAATATT